ATCAGAGACTGAAGATCAACTCAATGAAGTAAAGTGAGAAGGCAAGACAGGAGAAAGAAGAGTGAAAAGAAATGAACAAAGCCTCCAAGAAATATGGGATTATGTGAAAAGACCTAATCTACACTTGATCGGTGTACTTGAATATGATAGAGAGAATGAATCCAAGCCAGAAAACACACTCCAGGATATCATCCCAGAGAAATTCCCAAGGCTAGTGAGGCAGTCCAACATTCAAATTCAAGAAATACAGAGAACTTCACAAAGATACTCCTCAAGAAGAAACCCTACAAGCAAGAATAGAGTGGGGAAAAATATTCAACATCCTTAAAGAAAAGAATGTTCAACCCAGAATCTCGTATCCAGCCAAACTAAGCTTCGTAAGTGAAGGAGAAGTAAAATCCCTTTCAGACAAGCAATTACTCAGAGATTTTGTCACCACCACACCTGCCCTACAAGAGCTCCTGAAAGAAACACTAAGCATGGAAAGAAACAAGTACCAGTCACTGCAAAAGCAAACCAGTTGGCAAAGACCAAAAATGCAGTGAAGAAAATGAGTCAACTAATGGGAAAGGAAACCAGCCAGTAACAAAATGGCAGGATCAAATGCACACATAACAATATTAACATTTAATGTAAATGGCCTAAACACCCCAATCAAAAGACACAGACTGGCAAACTGGATAAAAAGTCAAGACCCATCAGTGTGCTGTATTCAGGAAACCCATCTCACATACAAAGACACACATAGACTCAAAGGGATAGAAGATTTACCAAGCAAATGGAGAACAAAAAAAAGCAAGGGTTGCAATCCTAGTCTCTGATAAAATGGACTTTAAACCAACAAAGATCAAAAAAGACAAAGAAAGACACTATATAATGGTAAAAGGATCAATCCAACAAGCAGCACTAACTATCCTAAATATATATGCACCCAACACAGAAGAACCCAGATACATAAAGCAAGTTCTTAATGATCTAAAATGAGATTTAGACTCCCATACAATAATATGGGAGACTTCAACACTCCACTGTCAATATTAGATCAACAAGACAGAAAATTAACAAGGATTTCTAGGACTTGAATGCAGAGCTGGACCAAGATGACCTAATAGACATATACAGAACGCTCCACCCTAACACAGAATATACATTTTTCTCAATACTACATTGTGCTTACTCTAAAACTGACCACATAATTGGAAGCAAATCACTCCTCAGCAAATGTAAAAGAACAGAAATCATAACAGTCTATCAGACCACAGCACAATCAGACCAGAACTCAGGATTAATAAACACACTCAAACCCACACAACCACTTGGAAACTGAACAACTTTCTTCTGAGTATCGACTGGATAAACAATGAAATTAAGGCAGAAATAAAACTGTTCTTTGAAACCAATGAGAATGAAGACACAATGTACCACAATCTCTGGTACACCTTAAAGCAGCATCGAGAGGGAAATTTATAGAAATAAATGCCTACATGAGAAACAAGGAAAGATCTAAAATTGACACACTATCATCAAAATTGAAAGAGCTAGAGGAGGAAGATCAAAAAAATGCAAGAGCTATCAGAAGACAAGAAATAACTAAGATTAAAGCAGAACTAAAGGAGATAGAGACACAAAAACCTTTCAAAAAAAATCAATAAATGCAAGAGCGTTTTTTTTAAAAAAATTAACAAAATAGACCTCTAGCCAGATTAATAAAAAAGAAAAGGAGAAGGATCAAATAAATGCAATAAAAAATGACAAAGTGGATATCACCACTGATTGCACAGAAATATAAGCTACCACTAGAGATTACTACAAACAGCTCTATGCACATAAACCAGTAAACTAGGAAGAAATGGATAGATTTCTAGACACTTGTACTCTACCAAGACTAAACCAGGAGGAAGTTGAAACCCTGAATAGATCAATAACAAGGGCTCAAGTAGAGGCAGCAAACAATAGCCTACCAACCAAAAAAGGTCCAGGTCCAGATGGGTTCACAGCCGAATTCTACCAGATGTACAAAGAGGAGCTGGTTCCATTCCTTCTGAATCCTCCCTCACTAATTTTATGAGACCAACATCATCCTGATACCAAATCCTGGCAGAGACTCAACAAGGAAAGAAAACTTCAGGCCAATATCCATAATGGACATTGACACAAAAATCTTCAATAAAATACTGGCAAACTGACTGCAACAGCACATCAAGAAGCTTATCCATCATGATCAAATAGGCTTCATCCCAGGGATGCAAGGCTGGTTCAACATATGCAAATCCATAAATGTAATCCATCACATAAACAGAACCAAAGACAAAAACCACATGATCATCTCAATAGATGCAGAGAAAACCTTTGACAAAATTCAACAGCCCTTCATGCTAAAAACTCTCAATAAACTAGGTATTGATGGAACATATCATAAAATGATAAAAAGCTATATATGACAAACCTATAGCCAATATCATATTGAGTAGGCAAAAGCTGGAAGAATTCCCTTCGAAATCAGGCACTAGACAAAGATGCCCTATCTCACCACTCCTATTCAATATAGTACTGGAAGTTCTAGCCAGAGCAATCAGGCAAGAAAAATAAATAAAGGGTATTCAATTAGGAAAGGAGGAAGTCAAACTATCCCTATTTGCAGATGACATGATTGTATATCTAATCGTCTCAGCCCAAAATCTCCTGAAGCTGATAACCAACAGCAGCAAAATCTCAGGATACAAAATCAATGTGCAGAAATCACAAGCATTCCTATATACCAATAACAAACAGAACCAAATCAAGAGGAACTCCCATTCACAATTGCTACAAAGAGAATAAAATACCTGGGAGTACAACTAACAAAGGATGTAAAGGACCTCTTCAAGGAGAGCTACAAACCACTGCTCAAGGAAATAAGAGAGGATACAAACAGATGGAAAAACATTCCATGCTCATGGTTAGGAAGAATTAATATTGTGAAAATGGCCATACTGCTCAAGGTAATCTATAGATTCAATGCTACACCCATCAAGCTACCAATGACCTTCATCAAAAATTGGAAAAAACCATCTTATACTTCATATGAAACCAAAGGAGAGCCCACAGAGCTAAGACAATCCTAAGCAAAAAGAACAAAGCTGGAGGCATCACACTGCCAGACTTCAAACTTATACTACAAGGCTTCAGTAATCAAAACAGCATGATACTGGTACGAAAACAGAGACATAGACCAATGGAACAGAACAGAGGCCCCAGAAGAATCACCACACATCTACAACCATCTGATCTTTGACAAACCAGACAAAAACAAGCAATGGGGAATGGACTCCATGTTTAACAAATGGAGTTGGGAAAACTGTCCAGCAATGTGCAGAAAGCAGAAACTGGACCCCTACATGTCACCTTACACTAAAATTAACTCCAGATGGATTAAGGATTTAAACATAAAACTTAACACCATAAAATCACTATAAGAAAACGTAGGCAAAACCATCCAGTACATAGGTATAGGCAAGGACTTCATGACTAAAACACCAAGAGCAATGGCAATAAAAGCCAAGATAGACAAATGGGATCTAATTAAAATTCAGAGCTTCTGTACAGCAAAAGAAACCATCATTAGAGTGAATCGGCAACCAACAGAATGGGAAAAAATTTTTGCAAGCTACCCATCTGACAAAGGGCTAATATCCAGAATCTACAAAGAACTGCAACAGATTTACAAGAAAAAAAATACCCCATTCAAAATAGGGCAAAGGATATGAACAAACACTTTTCAAAAGAAGACATATATGAGGCCAGCAAACATGAAACAATGTTCATCATCAGTGGTCACTAGAGAAATGCAAATCAAAACCACATTGAGATACCATCTCACACCAGTTAGAATGTTGATCATTAAAAAATCTGGAGACAACAGATGCTAGAGAGGATGTGGAGTAATAGGAACACTTTTACACCTTTGGGGAGTGTAAATTAGTTCAACCATTGTGGAAGACAGTGTGGCGATTTCTCAAGGACCTAGAAATAGAAATTCCATTTGACCCAGCAATCCCATTACTGGGTATATACCCAAAGGACTATAAATCATTCTTCTATAAAAATACATGCGCATGTATGTTCATTGCAGCCCTGTGTACAATAGCAAAGACCTGGAACCAACCCAAATACTCATCAATGTTAGACTAGAGAAAGAAAATGTGGTACATATACACCATGGAATACTACACAGCTATAAAAATTGATGAGTTCTTGTCCTTTGTAGAGACTTGAATGAATCTGGAAACCATCATTCTCAGAAAACTGACACAAGAACAGAAAGCCAAACACCACATGTTCTCACTCATAGGTGGGTGTTGAACAATGAGAACACATGGACTCAGGGAGAGGAGCATCACACACTGGGGGCGGTTGGGGGGGTGCTAGGGGAGAGACAGTGGGGGATGGAGAGGGAGGGGAGGGATAATATGGGGAGAAACACCAGATATAGTATGCATCTAAAGTAAAATAAATAAATAAACAAACAAACAAGAAACAAAATTCATTTGGAAATGCGGTGATCACTCACCCTCTGCATTTTCTCTGGGAACTGTGATCTAGGAATTCAGCCATTTTGGATTGTCCACAATTAATTATTTTTTATATTGAGTAGGGGGAGAAAGAATAACTGAATCATGGCAGTACACTCTGAGTTAAGATTAGATTAGGGAGACAAAGGAAGCCCAGAAACATGTTAATCAGGGCAAAGATGAAAATCTCCCTCCTTTAAGAACAAGCTACACATCTAACTGGGATGGTTTAGGGGACAGAATCAAAGACTCTACCAGGACTTTCCATTGTGAAGCTACAGCCAACTGTTTAGAGAATTCAGTCTAATTTGCCATTCCACTTTAATTCCCCATTGTTCCATACTATTATTTTTCAGTGCGTTTCCTGCTATGGATTTTTGTCTCATATACTTATTTGGTCCTTCTTTGGCATTCAGTTTTTCTTTTGTTCCCATCTTGTGTTAACTCCAGGTTGGGAGATGGAGAAGGAAGGGAGACAGAAACTACAGCCTGATCTTGAAAAGTTTCTTCCAAGCTAAGTGCAAAATCGGAAAGAGAAATGCTTAGAAATGTTTGCCACAAGGTGGGACATTTCCAACTCACCAAAACAGAGATTAGATGTCCACTGAAATATGATTTATTACTTGTTAAGAAATAAGGTTAAAACTAGAATCAAAGACTCTAGCAGGACTTCCAGTTGCACTTCTAGGAGCATTCAAACTGAATATAATGCTGGGCTTGATGGCTCAGGCCTGTAATCACAGCACTTTGGAAGGCTAAGTTGGGAGGATCATTTGAGCCCAGGAGCTCAAGACCAGCCTGGGAAACATAATGAGACCCTCATCTCTAAAACAATAGAAATTTAAATTTTAAAAATTAGCTAGGTATGTTGGGATAGCCTTGTAGTCCCAGCTACTTGGGAGGCTGTGGCAGGAGGATTGCCTGAGCCTGGGAGATAGAGGCTACAGTGAGCAATGGTCATGCCAGTGCATTCCACCCTGGGTCACAGAATGAGAACCTGCCTCAAGAAAACAAAAAGACTGAATATAAAAGTAATAGTTCAACAGTAGAAGATTGCATTAGAACATATTTCGACCTAAAAAGATATTAAGGGTCTTTATTACTTTGAGGTTTGAAAAAAAACCTGAACACTGAAGTTTTCCAGTGACTTAAGTAGCAAAAGGATGAACCTAAACTGTTGTAGACAGAGATGTTAAACATGAAGCTGATTTCCAGCTTTCTAAAGGCTATAAAAGCCATTTTACATGAAATGCAAACCAGACCCCACCCCTTCAAGTATGCAGTTCTACAAGAAGAATGCAATAGGGCAGTCAAGAAAATAATACCGATACTACTGGCTTTTAGTTATTAGGCAAGATGATTTAGAATTTTAACCATCTCTTTTATTACTTGGCAGCTATTGGGTGTCTGAGTTAGGCCATGAATAAATCCCCTTTGAAAACAAAGCATCTCCTTCAGTGGGATAATTAGACTATTACTAAGGACAAACTATCCAACATCAAAAGCACAATTCCTAAGAAGTCACGCTACAGGCAGTCTTCTCCCAAAATTAAAACCATGCTTAGTAGAAAGAGGTCACTGCAATAAATAAAGGGATGTGAACTAATTATTCACAAGTTTTGGTCAAGAAGTGACAGCACAGACTATAGTGACTGGGTTCTAAAAGTGAATATGCTAATTATATTTAGTGCTTAGGCTGAGTCTTGGAAACATCTCCCCCATTTTCTGATTAAGAGTCATTAATCATTCCTGTGAGGTCACTATAATTCCATGGCATCCTCAGTAACAGAATCAAGGATGTTGCTGCTAGTAGTGTTAGAAATGTGGGGGAAACGTCTTTGAAAGGCCCAGACGGTAATAATTACATTAGGACTACCCTAAAACTTACAAGACTATTTTCCCTCAAGGTCAAGTGTACAATTTTCTTTGTTCACACAATGCATAACTGAGTGAGCTATTATTAATCATAATACCAAGCTCACCCACTTGTCAATTGAATGCCAATAAAATAATTGGCATTGTTCTTGGCTTTTGGTTTTTAGCTGGCTGCTAAGTTATCCGTGGTGCTTCATACTTTCAAAAGCTATTAAGAAATGGTCAGAATGCAGTAATTTTCAGTTGTATATTTCTAAGCAGGTCCCAACCAAGGACTCTCAAAACTAAATTATTTGTGATAATGGAAGATGATAAGCAGATGAAGATTTCAGATTTTCTAAAAATTTTATTTAAACCACCTTTTATAAGCAGCCATTTTGGGGCTATGATAATAAATGAATGCTTACTAAATTTATTTTCTCTCTTCCTTTTTTTTTCCTAGAGATGTTAAATTGCAGTGAAATCATCAAAAAGAAGACACTTGAAAAGAGAAGTAAATATGAAATAAGAGACACTGATTATAAAATTGCCCAAAAAGCTATTCAGCTGGAAATTGTTCTTATAAGTTAATTATTATGCATGAAATTGTTATGAAATCTGAAACAATTTGAGTCCAGCACTGAAAAGTAATAAAATTAAAATGTATTCCTCATTCAGTGGATTTAATATACTCCATAAAACTTTGGCATAGTAAGGCTCAGAAGTTCTGCAGTCAATATTTATTAGGCTGCTCACCTGACTCCACCTTGCACCCTTCTCTCAGCTCATGAAATAACAGTATCTTTCTTACATGTGTTTGAACGTTGGAAAATATAATTTAAGTAGAATGTCAAGACAATAAAACCTGGAATATAGAAAGCAGTAAATATATGTAAGCAGTAAATAAATGATATTATTGATGGTGGTTATACAAGAGTAGAGATTATTTTTGGTGTGTAAAATGACTTCAGTTTCTGCACCACCCAAGATCAGCTTGGTTCTGCCTTCTCCCTAGCAACAATGACCCTAGAAATGATTCAGATCATCCCCTGTCATCATAAAGTCCCTGCTATCTACATTGCCCCACTGAGAAACTCCTCACATGTGGCCGTCACCAGGGGTTTCCCAGAGCTGCCCAGTAACACCAAGAAAAGGTTCAGGGTTAATATTATATCATGGTTCAGACACATGATATGAAACTGGGAAGAATCAGTGATGAAAAAGGGTTGTCCTTTTTCCTCTTCCCATGGACTCTTCTGAGATGAAGTAGATGGCCTCCAGAAGCCGTCTCACCAGACAAAGCAGTCAGCTGTGCCTTTGTGAAGCTGTGGTCAGCCTGATAATGTACTCCTTGTTTTTCTACTCCCTTCCTCTTCTCTATCTCACTCTGCTTTTTCTCTCATTCTGGATTTCTGGGATAATGCCCTGCCAATAGAGGATTAATACATAGATTTTTGCCACAGGCTCTACCTGGAGGAAGAGTGCTCTGTTCTCTTTGTCTCAGTCTCTCTCTCTCTGTCTGTTTCTTTCTCTATCTGTCTATGACACAAACACACACCCACCTCCTTCCACAAATATATGTGGAAACCTATTGCAGTCCACCACCCTTCCCCACCCCCCATTTCTCCAGGGCCTTGCCTTTTGGGAGCTATTATGAACCTTTCTGAACACCCAGCCTCATCTCATGAGTGGTATTTACCATAATGCCAGCAGGGTTAACATGTGGAGATATTAACTTGATTTCATTTTCTGTTCAATGTAGATATAGCTAGGTCATTTCTCTGAAAGATTTTACTCTCCTTACAAATTTTAGTTTTAAAAAATTATTTCTGTTTTCTTGTTTTTACTTGTTTAAATGTAGTTCCAAACACAGATAAGGCATTATTAACTTCACTACTAAGTAGTGCTGAGTTGAATGTTTGATAAATAGAAGATGGTTTATGTATTTTTCAATTCTCTTCTAATTTAGTTACATGTTTGTCATACTGCACAAAGATAACTATAAATAATGTTTTAGATTTGTTTTTGTAAAGAAATATAAATGCCAAATATAAAGCAGAAAAATACCTTCACTAAGTAACTGCAAATAGGATTCTTTTCAATATTAATTATCCTTCCTCTCTGGTGTTAAATACAGATGTAGCCTGTGTTAATTTGCTAATCCCACAAATCATATTCAATCTAAGTACGAATATAGTCAAAGAAAGTCCCCAGCTCATGAATAAATTCTGCTCAGGAAGTTTACTAGTAAAATTACATGGGATACATTTATTCATAGAAATGATGTTGTAAAAATTATGATTAGGTATTTATAGAAGCTCAATTACACTTTATGTGTGTCTAATATATATGTGCTATACATATTATATATACATAAAACTACCATTAAATATGTATATACACACACATATATATATATATATATATATATATATATACACACACGTATAAAATTACTATATGGTAAGACTGTTTTCACCATACATAACTTCAAGTTAGAACACTGTTTATGTGGCAGTTAAAGTTCCAGTGCCAGGAATCCATTGCCTCAGGCCTGGGGGGCAGAACGAGACACTCCTTCTACAAACCCAGCAATTGCATAGGAAGGTTTGGGCCTTGGGAATGGGGTGGGGTGTCCTCCCTGTTCCCCAAACTTGCTAACCCTCTGTGGCTGCATAATTGCATAACAGAAGGTGTAACTTTTTATGTGTCATCTATGGGCATTGCTATTTCTAGTTGCAAAAGAATAAAGTTATTCTATTAGATGTTTTAAATTAAAATCTATAAGCAGCTACCTATCCCAGGACAGATAAAAAACCACAGGCCAATAATATTGTTATTTTTCCAGCACTTGTCTATTTGAATTTTTATTAATTTGTACTCCATTCTTGTTCTCAAAGACACTTAAAGCAAGTCACAGATTGGCTTAAAATATAGCAAGATAATCTATATTTTTAAAATTAAGATATACTGAGTAAAAGGAAAATATGGATAGGGAAGTTTGGAGAGATCAGGAATTACCTCAATACAGATTATCTAATGCCATGAAGTCTTCTATGATACACTTGCTAGAGTTGGGGCTCTTGTCTGGAAACTTGTTAACATCCTCAGCAAAAAGGAAATTTGGCCAGTTATGATTCAGGGTGTCCACAATACAAAAACACACCAATCACCAGAGTACAGCTAATATTGATACCGAAATAAAAAATAAATTCATGTTACACTCATAGTACAAACTTTGCGTCACGTGATCAACATTCTTATTTTGCTGCAAGTAATTTTGTAAGATTATCTGTTACCATCGGCAGATCTGTCATAATTCAATCTCATGCATTCTAAGACCTGTGAATTCCAGCATTGTCTTGCCTAACTTTGGTTAGAGAGTTTCTAGATGTTAGGATGATTGTTTTCCAGGATGTTCTCCACAAATATTATTTCCCAGTTGAGCTTTTAAAGGTATTGTGTAACAGAGGGATTATACTTCTTTGCAAGTAGATGGAATACAGCTGCATTCTGTTGCCATTTAAGTTCAGGGTTTAGCAGCTGAGCTGTGGGTAGGATTAACATTGTCCCTTAAAGACTGAGAAACAAACAAGTATAAAGCCCTGACTAGAAGACCACCACAGAGTCACGTGAAGGTGAGTTCAAGGAGTATGAAGGTGGGCCAAGATTACCCTCAGAAAGTCATATTTGAACCATTTTAACAGAAATAAATGAACGAAGGAGAGCATACACTTGACTCTGTAAAGCATTACTACAATATTTTTAGGCAGGAAATATGTAAAAATAAAATATTCCCAAATGTACACCATGAAATTCCTGTGTATAGACAGTAAGAGATTATCTTTGACATTTTCCCTTGAATTTTAATGAAACTATTTATGAAATGTGCTATGTAGCTTCAGCATTACTTAGCAGAATGCACACAACATACTTTAAACTCTTAGGTAAATTATCAGAAAATTTATAATGGTGAAATTACCTTCAATGATTTCTGAGATTCCTTTCCTTGTTAGTACTTTAAATTTTACAAATATGCAGATATAGCTACAGATGTAGATGATTTGAGACACTTGGCTGAAAAGGTGCCAATCTTAGTAGAAGTCGTGAAACATAAAGTTTCCTAACATCAATTTATTTACCTATTTACTTACCCTCTTTCTTGAAATATAGAGGTTGTTTGCAAATATCTGGGTAGATTAAAGATGGTCGAAAATTTCTTGCTTTTCAACCCTACTGAGAATTAGAGTCTAATTCCACTCCTAAATTTCGGCCAGCCTTAGTTACTTGCTTGACCAACAAAATGCAGTGGAAGACTTGCAGCTTCTGCCCTTGGCTTTTTACAGCACATGCTCTTAAAGCCATGAGCTACCATGTGAAAAGTCCACCTACCCTGAGACCAGCCTTCTGCAAGAAGCCCAGGCTAGTTTTACAGAGAGGCCATGTTGATAGAGGAGGCAATGCTGGCCAAACCGAGCACAAAAGCCAGGCATGTCAATAAAGCCTTTATGGATGCCCCAAAACCAAACCAGCTACCTGCTGGCCCCAGCTGATGCCCTGTGAAACCAAAGAACAATCCAGCTGTATGCTGACTGAATTACTAGGCCCCCAAATTATATATTAAAGTGGCTCTTCTTTTAAAACACTAAGTTTTGGCGTATGAAACAAGATAGTCAAAGCAACATCTCAATCACTACACATTATAAAACAGCTACTTTCCAAAGAACTATTGCAGGAATCATGTGCATTTGCCTATACTATTCACTCACATATTAAACACATCTTCAACACTACCAATAGGCAGGAAGTTTGCTAGTCACAGAGATGCAAAGTTGAGCATGACATGATTCTTGTTGTTAAGTAGCTTTCTCTTGGTGAGCACACAGACAACTTAATAGTAATAGTTTAATTCTATGTGCTGGACAACCATGTCGCACAATTCTGGGGACACATTCACATTGCAGTCTATCTGAATGATGCTAATTGGAGTTGAGAATACACATCCAGTCAAAAGGCCGTAGTATGAATGTTCCCCAAAGTTGGACTGCATAGAGGCCTACGTGATAAGCATCAGGCTAGAAGTATGCATCCAGTGTTACAGAATCACAGAGAAGAGATAGTAAAGAATGTATTTTTCCTGGAGCTTTTTAAAATCTTCACTGTAAAGACACTGGGAATTAATGAGCCCAGTAACACATTGTTATTGATAATGTATTTTAGAAAGGGTAACATTTATCCTAATGTGTATAATATAGCTGGGCTTAAGTAATTAATTTAAATTCTTACACATTTTCTAATCCACATTAGCAAACAGGGAAAACTATATAGAGAAATAAAATCAAAGTGAACTCAAAAAAATTTGTTGAAGAAAAATCTTTAAAAAATAAAAGCATACTTTTAAAAATATAAGAAAGGCATTATATAATGGTAAAAGGATCAATGCAACAAGAAGAGCTAATGATTCTAAATATATATGCACCCAATACAGAAGCACCCAGATACCTAAAGCAAGTTCTTAATGACCTATAAAGAGACTTAGACTCCCACACAATAATAGTGGGAAACTATAACACCCACTGTCAATATTAGATCAATGAAAAAGGAAATTAACAAGGATATCCAGGACTTGAACTCAGATCTGGACCAAGCAAATCTAATAGCTATCTATAGAACTCTCCACACCAAATCCACAGAATATATATTCTTTGCAGCACCACATCACACTTACTCTAAAACTGACCACATAATTGGAAGTAAATCACTCCTCAGCAAATGAGAAAAAACAGATGTCATAACAACAGTCTCTCAGACCACAGTGCAATCAAATTAGAACTCAGGATTAAGAAACT